GTTTTGGGTCTTATTTTAAGTCTGTTAGAACACTTAATTTTTCAGACTTAAGTTGGGTATTTGAGACTGTTTTATGTAAAAAGTAGTGTGTAAATACGCTGGATGCATTTATTTATAATTTTAACTTGAAATATGTTTCGACCTTAAAAAACAAATGTACTCTCGCAGGGTCTCCGAAAGTGTTCTATTTCAAGAGTAAATAAAAACCAAAATTAAGAGTAACAAGTATTTTTATTTCTTGCTTTTCATATGTTATGTTGTGTTGTAGCCTATAGAATGCATAATACTTCTCGTGATTCATGGCATGCGCACATTTTACTGACGTCAGGACAATAAAAATTGCAACGTTAAGTGTTCTTATGTGACGTCATTATAGTGATTGACTGGTAGACAGACAACACACTACTGTATCGTAGTGAGAGTGTTTAAAACAGGTGACCTTCTCCAGGCGGCTTTAGGCCCCCTTTTGGTGAAACAGTCTGTTGCTGATGATGTAAAATATTGTCTCCAACCTGGCCAAAAATGATTTGGAGGCAAGTGTAAAAAAAAAAAGAAAGAAATTATTATACAATTTTTATGTATTTATGAGGAAAACTCTTTCCTTTGAGCATATATACTGAGTTACCAACTGTAAGGATTATTATTACTTTAGAAATGACGGTCACACATCCCTGTAATATTCCAGGAATTTACTAGTTGTAAGATCTTAAAGTTTTGATGTTTTTGTCTTTCAATTCTGACCTTGCAGTTGGTCATGCAGTGATAATTGGCAACAAGGTTTGTTAAAAACAGGCAGATATTGAAACGTATCATTTATTGACACGATATGAGTGTAATGCGTTTTATCGTTCAGTGACTTCGAAGTAGTAGTTTGTATGTTTTTGTTGTCATAGTTTCACTCGATTTGTCAAATACAATGTGCATGTCTGTATAAATATACATAGTTTGCTTATTACTTTGTAACTATATATGACTTAGAAACTTTTTTTTTGAAGACAATGTAAATTATGTTGTCTGTTAATGTATATTTGGTGAAAAGATAAATTATTTTTTCACTGATTGGTTTGAAATCATTAATGATAGCACAATAAAAACATTTTTATAACATTTGAAAATAATAATAATGTAACAGCAATATTAAACAAATTGCAACAAGGGTAATCAGAAACGCATACTATTAGATTTCTATGGATTCCTTTTTGTTGCCCCCCCCCCCCCTAGTGACAGAGCGGTATGTCTGTGGACTTAAAGCGTTAGAAACCGGATTTCAATATCCGTGGTGGGCAGAGCACAGGTGGCCCATTGTACAGCTTTGTGCTTAAGTAATAAACATCAACCTTTTTTTTTTTATGGTCTGATAGTTAGGGTGCTCGACTCGCAGTCAGAGTGTCGCGGGTTCGCATCACCGTCTCTGAACATGCTCGACCTTTCAGCTGGGAGCGTTATAATGTGACGATAATGCCCATTATTCGTTAGTTAAAGACTAGCCCAAGAGTTTGCGGTTGGTGGTGTTGACTAACTGCCTTCTATCTAGTCTATCGCTGATAAATTATGGACAGTTAGCGCAGCTAGCCCTCGTGTAGCTTTGCGTGGAATTAAAAATAAACCAAACCAATTCCTTTTCTGTTTATGACAC